CTCTGGCCTGTACTCCAGTTCTGTAAAATAAATCTTAAAAAAATATAAATAGATAGGTAGATGGATGGGTGGATGCGTCTATCTATTGGTTAAGTGAATTACAGCCTATTTTTTTTTGTTTTTGGCTAAATCTTTAAATAATAAGAAAAAGATGTGATAATGAGAGAAAACACACATACCCATAAAAAGCAATCAACAGAACAAGCACTTACTATGTTACCAGAGCTCCTGTATTTGACATGTGTCATGTCTCACAATTCCTGCCCACAGGATTTCTACTGCCATTATTACATTTTCCTTATACAGATGAGGCTTGGAAAGGTTACACTAAGTCACAAAGTTTGTAAATGTATGAGATAAATTCAAAAGCAATCTGACTCCAGAACATACAGCTACATTATAAATGACTACTATCAGGTCAGGAGGTGGATATATCTAATTTGATATGGTAAGGAGTTTATAAATATTTGCTTCCTTAGACAATAAAAGTAGGTAAAAAAGACGATTAGTCTTTCTTAGTAAAGTGATGTTCATGTTGCTGGAAATATCAAGGACTTTCAAATGACAGTACATATTTTATAATTTTTTTAAATAAAGGACTTGGTGACTTAGAATCAAGAGAATACTCAGATGTCTTACTAACTTTAACTTCTACATGGAAAGTGAACTTAGCTATTTTTACCTCTTTAATCCAGTGGCGGTATTCATTAACACCAAAAGTTTTTTTCATCCAAAGTCCATAAATATAGCCTGAAATTCCTTTTAGTACCCATTCATCAGACCTATGCAAAATATAAACTTTTTTCAATCAAAACCTCTTGATAAAAGACCAAAGAGGGTAACAAAACAATGTCAGGTATACTTTTCTGACTTCTTAAAACAAAGTTATTATCAAATATTTGATTTTTCTGTTTTCTAGAACTTTCATCAGATCTGGCTTTATCTTACTTAATTATGAAACTGTTTAATAGGCAGCTCCCCTGCCCACCTGTGACCATTCAGGTGATTATTTTTCACAAAACTTTTCCTCTTGCAAAGCAGTAGCAGCAGCTCTCTGCCCACTTGTGTAAATCAGGTGTCACTTTTTACTTGCTCCTTTCCTAATAAACCTGTCCTTCTACAATGTAAAATAGTAATAGTAAAAACAGCTGGCTAGCCTTATTAAAAGTAGAATGTGCCTGTGTTTGTGCTCTGCAGTGCTGTTTGGTTCCCTCCTGCCCAACTCTGCACAAGCTGTGTGCTTGTAAGGACTACTCGCTTCCCCCTGGTCAGGGACACACTATTCCATTCTCAAAATCCACATTCTAACACTGTAAATCCCATTTACACTTATCACTGAAATTCCAAGACCCCAAGTTTAATTACTTATTTTTTGGTTTCTCAAGAGGAAAGTCAATTGATGCCATTCATTCCTTCAGTTGTATACTTATCTTTTCATTCATTTGCTTACTCAAACATTTTGCCTGCCATGGTCCATCCAATCATTATTCTTTAATAAAACTATAGTAATGTTAGGAAAAGTATAAAGCATGAGCCCTTGCCCTCAGTCTTCTCCCCTCCAATAGAGAAGGAAAACAAACTGAGATTCGTATACTATGTACAGTACAGAATGGTTATAATTATATAATCCTAGGGGAGATTGTGTATTTCTTCAAATTCACCTCAAGTTAATCAAAATGAAAATAAAGTGTTTTGCTCACACCTTTCAAGTAAATTAGGATAGAGCTAGGTGCTAGTAAGTTTATCCTTACATCATCATTGTACAGAAATATATTTGACCTTAAACATTACCTTGATCATTGCCAGCTATGCTAAGCACTGACATTAGCATTCTAGCTATAATTTTCTATACACTCAAATCTTTGTATCTATAGTATTTATTCAGTTCTTTAAGAAATTGTTGCTATCAAAATTTTCATTTTATTATAAATTTGAGAACTATATTGAACTCTGGAAAAATTTAGGATGAAATTTATATTCACTATTAAATACAGATTGAATACAGATTAGTGTCTCTTAAATTAATTATCCAGAAATGGGACAAAGTTCAATATCCACTAAGAAATGCTTTTGCTCAGGAACTTAAATTTTGAAATTACTCACCAAGACATTCTGGATATGAAACATCCAAAAAATTGCTGAGCCAAGGACTGAGCTAAACACCTTCTAGTCAAAGGTGTCTCATCTATAATCATGGCACTGTGTAAAAGATTTGTGCTGGAATTTAAAAGGAGACAATTAAAAGAAATAAACAATTAGTCAAAATAAAGTAGTCAAACTTTTTTAAATAATGAAATTTAATTTAGACATAAAAAGAAAAATAACAATATTCTTCCCAAGAGCTTTCATGTTCTTTCAAAATTTAACTGACATCCATTTGCTTAAGGCAAGGAACACAAAGTTTCCCATTCATTACACGCACACACACAAAATAAATACTTTTTGGGAATTTGGGGGAGTCATCAATTAATCAGAAACTGACAGAGGCCAAACTCTTCTAATATTTATATCTTCCCCCCCCCCAAAAAAAAATCAGGGTTTTTTTTGTGCTCTATTATTTACTTTTACATACATCACCCATCAGATTCTTGTAACACTCACACTCCGCAGAATGTGAGGGCAATACCATTCTTTTTTGCAGATGATGTAAAATAATGGACATAGAAATATAAAAATTCTAAAGTTGGAATCATTCAAGTAATGAAGAGGTTAGAGAGGATAGAAAAAGAGAGAAAATTAAATTTCCCCTCTCTGTTTTGGGTACAGTTTTTTTGGTATATTTTTAAATAGTACTATTTTAAAATACTGCTAAGAAAAACAGTCCCACCAACTATCCACATAAAAGATTTTTATTAAGTGTGTGATTTATATATTTATTTAAAGATCTATTTATTTATGCATACAAGAACTGGGGTACAAGCCAGAGGTGCGGTGGGTAAGAGAGTTCACCAGAGACAGAGTGGGGAACAGAATAGGCAGATCGACTGAAATATACTGCTGAGGGGAGCAGCAGGCATGACAGGTAAGGTCTGCTGCACCATGTGGGTGACCTCCCAGGCTGGGGATCGAATTTGTGCAGCAGTGGCTGAGGCTAGCTTCATAGTGCTAACCCCTGAGTCATCAGGGAGGCCTCCTGACTTATATTTTCTGTATGATTTTTTCGAAATGCATAACCAGGAAAGACACTAAAAGAAATACATAAAATACTAGCATTGATTAATTATAGAAGTTAGTATTAAAGTATTTGGTGTATTTTGAAATTTATGTATTCATGCCTTTCTACATTTATAAATTTTACAAATGCTGTATTTTCTACAAAGGCAATCATTCTAAATTAAATGGAAAAAGTTCAAAACATATCCTTAAAGCTGATCACAAAATAACATGTCTTCAATCATTACCATAAATTTAGGTATTTCATATTTCTGGAGATACCAACCTAAAAATGCTCATGGAAGCATAAGCAGCCACTTCAACATATGCTTCGTCAATGAATACAGTCTTAAAACATGAGTATGGATACCGACATGTAAGAATTTCTTCATAAAATTCAAAAACTTCATGAAGGTATGATGTGGTATGTTTAAGCAATGGAAGAAGTTGGGGCAAACAAAAATGGGTAACCTAAAAATAAAAAGCAGGAAAGATCATTAAATGGAAAACTTAAATATTTCAATTTTCTTAAATATCTCAATTATAAATAACTGCACATAAGTACCCCTCCTCCCTTTTTTTAATACAAACCATGACACTGAAAAAAAGTGCTGTGTGATTTTAGTGATGTTCACTGTCTTCAAAATATTTTTTGTAGTTAAATAGTTAAATTCATGATAGACTGTAAATCTGTGAAATGCTTATATCTAATGAAAATATAACTGGTTCAAATTAAGATTATTCTATATATACACACACAAAAAATGTAACTTTCCAAAGTTTACTGTAAAGCCACCTTTGATTCATAAATACCTAGCCTAACTATGAATGTCATAGTACTACCTTAATTTACAGTTAATATTAATCATACTAACTTCACTGCACATAAAGAATAATTACTGTACTATAGTCCTTTAATATTTTAACTACATATTGAAAACAGCAGGGAAATTTTTTGGTAGTTAAGAGATAACACTCACAAAAGAAACAGTAATTCTGATTTTCTTACTGGTTTACATCCTATCTTGGACACAGACACACAAATGTCGTATACCTTTTCATTCCATATTATGATTCTGTGTCACATGAATGACATCAATCAGATACAAATCACTACTACTAGAATGACTCATTAAGGTTTTATGTAGGTGACTGAATGTGAACTAATCTTTTTTGAACTGACCACAAGTTTGATAAGGTAAAGAGAGGACATACCAAACATTGCCTAAGATAGGAAGAAATATAGTATGATCAGGAAAATCTATTCAAACGCTACAAGATATAACAAATACAGATGGGAAAATAATGGCAAAAAGGTTGGAAAAGAAAACACGCCAAAATCTAAAAGACCTTGAAGATAATGTTAAAGAATTCTTATTATTGCAGTATTACACAGACAAAAAAGCTTTTAACAATAAAAATCACCCCAATAGCAATATAACAAAAGAACAGAGTAGAGACACTACCATAATAATGCAGGATGATTACCTATGTGTTAGTGTCAGATGACAAAATGCATGATGATTATTAACACTCTTGTTAGTACACAAACAGAAAATAATGCTCACCAAAAAAGACTCACATGTAGACAAAACTACATGATAGCATATTTACTGATAATGTGGTTAAAAACTATTATTTATTGAGACAGAAAAAAAAAACCAAAACTCTGTCATGAGGCTGTAAGTACTCAAAAAAAAATACCTTATTGTCAATTACCATTCTCCTATTTCCATGGTTCAGTGTGGGAGAAAAAAGTTCTTCCAAAAAACAAAATAGGTACTATTCAAATATTGATTTTAAAGTTGGTATTTTACCAAAAATTATAAAATTCACTGCTTATCTTACCAGTGGATATACTTTTAAGAGTCATTATAAGTATAGCAAAAACAGAAGCCCTTCACAAAACATTTACCATGAAGGATTTTATCAAATGCATGAATTTCAGAAAAGCATATATCAGAAGAGACCTAGTTGCTCACTAATAGTCTAAAACTTGTTTTTGCCCATCTAACTAAAAGGAACACTGTTGAGACACACATGGTCATAATATAAGCCTATATTAAAAAAAAAAAAAAAAGTAAAATTGAAAACCAAAGGACTAAAAGTAAATAAAAAGATTCATCCAAATGTTGCATGTTATATGTCCAGACGCCAAGAGGTTTAGTAATCAGTAAGTCACATCCTAAACCAGAAGTGCAGACTTGGGCCATCTGACCACACTATTTGGCCTATCAATTTTAGGATATGCTTTATGGCAGACACAGACTGGGAGACCGTGTAAGAAGCCTTCACTGAATTTGCTAGCCAGAATACCACCATTGCCTCAGCTTTTTGTCTTTTCTTTTGCATATGTTGAAATGATGGTACTTTTTAATTCTGAAATTGCCGTATTTTAAAATCTAGAGGTGGGACTATTGCATTCAAAAAACATATTCCAAATAAAAAGACAGCATTAGTAATCAACAATATTAGTTACTATAATCATATACCTTCTACCCAAAATACACTTAGTTTTTTGGATTACTAAAATCTCTCTTGGAAAAAATATGAAATTTAACACGACAATATTTTAAAGGAATTCAAAAATTCACATCATTACAACAGATTAGGAAATTTTTTTCTTTCATAATATTCAAAAGTTGAAAGAGGAGTTTAAAAAAAACTTAATATTTCAACTACGGTGATGGCACATGGGTGATTTGGTGGTGGGAAGCCCCAGGGGATTACAACTGAGATAGATAAATGCACAAAAAAATGTAAAAATAAACTATTATATTATTCATTAAAAAAAACAAACTTAATCTTTCATTAATATCTTTTTTTAGCTAGCACTAAAAGGGTGGGAAGAGAGGAAGGAACAGGAAGATACAACTTACTTCATGCATATACGGATCAACAAGTATTTCAAAAGGTCCAATGGCTAAGGAGATATTTGATGCTGCTGTTGGAATGGTCAGCATGTAATGGAAGGTCTTCTTCCTCATATCATGGGTATACACTGTCTCCACCAAATCTCCATTGGAAACAGCCACCATTGCAGCATCTACTGTAAATTCTAATTTCCATGTACATAACTCAGAATATGAATCAACACATGGGAACCAAAATCTAGAAAAAAGACAGTATACAACATATGAGAGTATAACCTACAACTGTTTTCTCCACATACAGTCTAATCTTAAAAAAAATACAAATAAAAAGAGACCTAACATGGATGGAGCTGGAAGGCATCGTGCTAAGTATAATAAGCCAGAAAGAAAAAGATATATTAAATAATAGATGGTGTCACTTGTATGTGAAATATAGAGAAACCAAAGAGTCAAACAAAGACAAACTATAAAACCAATCCTTGACAAGTGACAATAGGTCATTCAGAAGGGGGCGGTCGAAAAGGGAGGGTTGAGGAGAGGGGAAAGCACAACAAACAATGGCAGAGGACTATGGGTACCTGGTGGTGGGGGCACAATGATGACACCTAATCGTGCCATCTGTATTGTCAAAACATTAACAGAGTAAAACAATGGTACTTCATTAATTAAAAAAAAAAAAGATAGAAACCTATTTCCAAATATTATTAGTCAGTATTAAAAATTATGTGACTTTGCTGGTTCTAACCCTAGAAAAAGCATGCAAATTTTTAATTTGCAATTTTTAAATTAAAAACAATTTTAACTGGTGTATTTGCAT